AAAAAAAAAAAAAAAAAGTTGACTACTATAACCATCTTTTCCTAGGTAGTATCAACCTCATAGTATACAAAAAGCAGGAAAGTAGCAATGATAATAATATTCTAATACAAGTCTCAGTTTTTGCATTAGTAGTGGTAGTAATGGTGGTGCTGACGGTAGTGGAGGTAGTAGTAGCAATAATACCTGTAAAAATAATAATTCCTACCATTTCTAAACGGAGCTCTGGTAGCGTAGTGGTTATGAGTTGGGCTGCTAACTTCAATGTCGATAGTTCAAAATTACCATTCATTGCGTGGGATAAGGATGAGACTTTTTGCTCTCATAAAGATTTATAACCTCGGAAACCTTATGCAGGGTCGCTATGATTCGGAGCCAACTCCACAGCACACCACCACTCCCACCAGTATTTCTAGATGCTTTCTGTCGTTATCCCTTACAAGATCCCTAATAAACTATTACTGCCCTCTTTTGAAGGTGTGATAGGAGGCTCAGAGAAGTGTAACACTTTGCCTAATGTTGTGGAACTGGTATTCAAACTGATGTCTGTCAGACTCCAAAGCTTATGCACTTTTCACTCTACTGACTACATCTCATAAAGTAACTGCAATGCAATATGACTCTTACACAAATATGACTAATAAACTGGAACAAATATTAGTAACAGCATATTACTACACATCTTCAAAGTATTTTCAACATGCTATTTTTCTGAGTAAATTAAGTATGTTGTTGTTGTTGTTAAGTGCCATCGAGTTAATTCCAACCCATAGCGACCTTGTGTAGGGTTTCCAAGGAGCGACTGGTGAGCTTGAACCACCGACCTTGCAATTCAAATGACTTTGCAGTATGACGCATTAGCCCACAGCACCTAGTACTAGAATATACTCTACAAAATGATGAATAATTTATATGATGTTTGGTTCAAAGACAACCATTTCTAAGTTTCAGAAACTAAAGAAATAACAGCAGACGGACAGGAAATACAAGGCACAATTCTGAGGAACGATCTTAAGAGAAGGGAATAAAGATCACAGACATTAATTCTACTCCAACATCAATACCTGGAGAATCAAATACAATTTTCTTGAAGGACAACAGTGGTACTCAATATATTTCTGATACAGAAAGAAAAAGAAATGTGGTCAAGAAAATACAATGGTTAATGAAAACCTCCATATAAACCAAAATTAAGATCATTTACGTATGATAATTAAAATTATTATATATATTAGTAAAATTGTATCTCAACAAACTAACTTACTTCCGAAGTTCAGCATTCTGTTTTTCCAAACTCATTTTCATTTCCATGAGATGATTATTCTCTTGTTTTAACTGCTTTTCTGACATTTTTAACGTGTTAACTTGCTGTGTTTGCATCTTCAAATCATTTTGTGTAAGGCAGCGCTTCTGAGTTTCCTGCTCTATTTTTAATGTCAAATTTCTGACCTAAAAAAATTTTTATAATTGGTATATAAACAAATCATTTGATTTCTTATCAATGAAGCTAGAAGCAAGCAAGGTAAAGTAAAAGATTTTTGCCCTTACATGGTTAATAAATACATGTTCCAGTTTTGGTTTCCCTCCAAAAAACATGAATATATATTTAAAATAAAATATGGCCTTTCAAGTAAAAGTAAGTTTAAAATTAAAAGTGATTAAAGCATTTAGTATAATTAATAAAGCTAATGGGTTATATAAAATATTATTTTATAAGAAAAAATTGTTATTTATGAAGCTATCATTGGACCTAGACAAATAAATGTAGCTTATTAATTCATTAGACACTTTACTATTATTTATTAGTAAACTTGTTACTTACATCCTCATTTAGCACATCTTTCTGTCTAAGAAGCTCATTTATTTTTTGCTGTGACTGTTTGAGATCACAATCAAATATAGAACATCTTTTCTCAGCTTCCAGCAACAGGTTTTCCACTTTCTGTTTAAAAGTCCTTTCCTCTAGAAGTTTCTTCTCCATTTCTATTGAAACAAAAATGAATATAACCAAGAATGTAGAAACAAAGTTAAGCTTATCAGACATGTAAAACAATGCTAATAAAAATTATACCAAATGATGCTGCCTTAAAATATTTACATTTGAAATGTCAAGAATATCATATTTTTTAAAACTAGAAGTTTCATTTGCAAAGTATAAAAATCTTATCACATGCTGCAACATTGCATCCACTCTTATGGAAGCAAGGTAATTCTGCCTTTTTTTTTTAATGTTTGCATATTTTAAGTAAAGATTTATTTTCCTGCTCTGTGTCTCTCACTCTCAATGTTAAAATTATTCATAAAACATTCCAGGTAGAACCTATTACCATCATAGTTCTTTCTGTATTAAAATTTATTATGCAGATGTTTGAAATTATATTTAAAGGGTAAGATACTGGAACCAATTGCCTATATTTAAATTCTGGCTTTGACACTTACTAGTTATTTGACCTTGAGTACGTTTACCAGCCTTTCTGGGCATCTGTGTTTCCTGCTATATTTGTAATAAAGACATTATAAAGATTTTGAGTTAATATAGATGAAACACTTAAATGCTGCCTGGTGCATGGGAAACACTTGCAAAGTGTTCATTATTAGAAATGCTTAATGACCAAAAAGAAACAAAAAAAAAGTTGTTATTTTAGAAGTAAAAAGGCAAACCAACATTTTTTTTTTTTTTTAAAAAAAGGGGGGAAACTTGCAAAGTATTATTATTCTAATTAGTAGGATAATTTTGTTGTTGTTGTTCAGTGTTGTCAAGCAGGTTCTGACTCAGAGACCCTATTATATAGGGTTATCAAGGCTTTAAATCTTTTCTGGAACAGAAAGCCTCATCTTCCTGCTGCAGAGTGGCTGGTAGTCTCAAACTACAGATCTGTGCTTTGCAGTACAAGGCTCATTGTATGGAGCCACCACACTCTCAGTAGGATCACAGGTCATTTTTATTTATTTATATGGTATTTTCTAAATAATTTGTAATAAAATTTTGTTTTGTTTTATTAATCAGAAAAGGCTTTTACAAACCTTTTTAAAACCTGAAATGAAGAGCAAGAAAAGTTTAGAAATAATCAAGTGATTTTATTATTGTCTATGCTATCAGTTACTCAGAATATATTTTTTACATTCTCACTAATAATTCTATTCCAATCCTACTAGGGTTCCTTTGCGCCTTCATACCTAATGTTCAAAATCTAATTATCATTTATGTAAAAATTGTTAGGAAAAAATTAAACTTATAGTTTTTGAATTTTAATGCATAGCCTTCACAAAATATTAATAAAAAGGCATTATTAATAATTAATCTCTAGCTAACAGTTCTAAACACTTTACATACCACAATTAATTTTTACTACGAACTCATAATTCTCCCAACAACTTTGTATTGTATTTAGCATCACCCCTTTACAGAAAACAAGGCTCAGAAAGGTCACACAGCTAGTAACTTGCAAACCATAGTCTTAATCCAAGAACAAAGGCTTTAGACCAGAATTTAAATACCATCTATAATAATTTGTTTTGTATACTTGTGTAAAATATGGAAACCATTATTTAGCACATTACTGATGGAAGCATAGTTTGAAAACAGTGGTAGTTGTTACACTAAATTGGCTTTTTTCATCAATTTAGGGAATAACTTATCAACAAATACACTCATTTAAAATATGCACAGAGAATAAAAAGAGGCACCAAGGAATTTATGGAGATAATGAAAATGTTCAAATCTTCTTTTGGGTAGGATGCTACAAATGCCAAACTGCTTTGCATTTATCACTCATAAATTCTACCTCAACAACACAAATAAAATCCAATTCTATCTCCTAGGCTGAAGAAAAAGTAACATGGTCGACCATCTTCCTCTCTTATAATTGGACTAGTCTAAATAAAACATGCCTGTGTAATCCTTTATCATCCCCAATTAGTATCTAAAACTAAACTGATGTTAACAAGAAAACAACAATTGTAATTACATGCAGTAATTAAAAGGCAATATTTTTTACTGATAGTCATGTTTTGCTTCAACACAAAATTTCTCTTTAAGAGCTTTTTAATAATCTTTCACAAGTACACTTTAAAGCACTGATTTCCTCTGAAATGTCGAATCCATCATAATACTAAATAACAGTTTGGAATAAGAAAGTATTCTAAAACATTTACCAGATACAGGCTGCTTTATTAGTATTACATGGCTTTGACTAAATCTGGCCAGACTCTTTATATCATGCCAGAATTCAAAATATTCAGTGAATTGATATTCTAGTTAGGCCAGCTATTATTTTTAAATATTTATTTTCCATAAACATGTAAGGCATGAGAATTCTGTAATAAAAGACAAGATGTAAAATAATATCAAATATTATAAAAGGATCATATTTCAAAATCTGAGTGGAGTATGTCTAGAATGCTATATATACAACTGTCACTAAAATAATAACTTTCCCTAATCTAAAAATTTGGCTGACTAATTTTGTGTTTGGACTTATCTTAGAAATGATGTTACTATAAAGAAAAACTAACATATATGCAAAACTTCCTTAATTTTTGATGTTGTTATTGGATAATACAAAAAAGTTTTCAAAACCAGAGCTGAAGATAGAATCATCAGTAAAATGTTGCTGACATATCCTACTTAAAAAATGCATACCTTTCATGGCTTCTGATTTAGCTTCTTCAATGGACTCATAGATCTTGTTTTTATCTGCTAGCCGTGCCTTTGTTGTCTTATGTTCAGCTTCTTCTTGTTCTAAGGTCTGCTGTATAACCTTCAGTTGGTATGTCATATCTATTTCCATGTTGCTCTTTTCCTATTTAAGAATTAACATGGCAGCTATCAACAAAGAGTGGCTCATAATTGCAAAAACTTTTAAAGTCATTTTTTTAAAAAGGCTTAGTAAGATTAGTCAGTATTTCTCTTTTCATTCAAACTTTTTACAACAGGCATCTACTATGTGCTTGCTCTCATTCTGCTTTACGTACAAAATGGATTCATTATTGTCATCTCTCACTGAGCTATGCGTTCTTTAGTAGTTAATGGTACCACTATATGTCTTTTCATCAAATTCTAGGACTTATCCTCGACAATGACTCACAGGCTTATCTAATTAATCGCTAACTGCTACGGAATATTCCTCTCAACTATTTCTCATACTCATTCCTATTTTCCATCGCTTTAACCACTGCATTAGCTAAGTCTTCATGACTACTTATCTGGATTACTGCAAAAGCCATATGACTAATCTTCCTGTCTCTAAACTTATCTTTCTCAAATCTAGACTCTCTATTGTACAGAGTAATCCATTTTAAATGCACCTCTAATAAGGATTCCTGGTGTGGCTCTGTAGGATCAGCACTGGACTGTGAACTACAAGGTCGGCAGTTCAAACCTACCAGGTGCTCCTCAGAAACCCTATAAAGGGTTGCTATGAGTCAGAACTGACTCAATGACACTCAACAACAATAACAACAACTAATAAGATCATCATCAAATTTAAAGGCCTTCAGTGGTTAGAGAATCTAGTCGAAGTTTCTTAGGAGAATATGCATAATCCTGCATCATCTAACCTCTGTCTAGCTCTATATTCTCCTTTTTATCATGTAACTACTTACGTTTACATGAGGACCATGCTGAGGTCCTTGGGCCAGATTTAGCTTGAAATCTATTTTTATAAATAAAGCTTTATCAAAACATAGCCAAGCCATTTCTTTATGTATTGAACAGCTGCAATAGAGACCAAATGACCTAAAAGCCTAAAATGCTTACACCATTACCTTAAAAAACTATAAAGTTTGATGACTCCTACTCTTTGGTTCCACATAATAAGCACTCGACCACAAGGTCAGAGATTCAAACTCATCAGCTGCTTCTTGGAAACCTTATACAGGGTAGTTATGGCTAAGAACCAACTCAATGGCACTTAACTTTATACTCCAGATATATTGAAGAATTTGTACTTAAATACAGAGACTGTCTATTTTCCATGCCTTTGTTTATGCTATCCTCCCCATCCAATGCAGAATAAGTCTTTCTTTGTTTTGCCAACCATTCCTGCTCAGTCAGATTAGGGGCTAATGCTGAGCACCATATATATACATTTGTCCACACCTCTATCACTTTATTCACCACAATGCATTAGAATTATCTATGTGCTTATTCCTTCAAAGGTTACCCATTAGCAGCAAGACTGTATAAGTTAATAATCATATCCTGATATTTCTACTTCAGATTATGCAGTAAATATTTAAACAATTGAGTAATAGTATGAAAATAAAATAATAAATGCACAGGCTTTCTAAGTCCTCCCTGGTTTACAGTAAGTACTTTCAAAGGAAAACCCATAAATGCTAAAAGTCATCATAAATTTATATTGCATCACTTTTAAGTCATGATGAGAGTCAAAATTTGACTTTTATTTGGACCTGAAAAGGATTTTCATAAAACACACTCCCAAAGTCCTTTTCTGAACATCTAAGAATAGTAAGAATCGTTTATCTAGTGCCAAAAATATAAATCCCTAGTCTACATAACCAAGTCTAAATATGAAAGAAACCAACGAGTTATATGGAAATATTCCACTTACTGCTTTCCCTTACTTTAGAATATTTTTTCCAAGTAAAAAGTGTTATTTTTAACAAAAATAACTAATGTTTAACATGCTTTACCTTTTCCAAATCAGTAAATTTTTCCTGTAGTTGTCTCTTCTCCATCTCTACTTTTGCTAGTAAAATTTTGCCATTCTTTAAATCTTCTTCTAGGCCGGATACCCTACCTAAAAATTAACAGCATTAAAACAAACAAACAATAAACCCACGGGTATATTCATTTAATTAAGAATAAAACATTTGGAAGTAACCTTTTTTAAAAAAAACTTCTTATTGTCACTTGGGTGAAAGTTTAAAGAGCAAATTGGTTCTCCAACCACTAAATCACACAGATTTTGCTTCATGACATTGATTGCAATTCCCACAATGTAATATAGCACTCTTCCCACTTCTTCCCTAAGTTTCCCATTTATATTAATCTTTCTTTCCTACCCATTCCTGCTTTCTGACCTTTGTGATACTGTAAAAGACTTACAAGGAATTACTGGTGGGTTTGAACCACCACCTTGCGGTTCAAATCAACTTTGCAGTCTAGTGCTTATCCTACAGCGCCACGTTGTTGTTGTTATTAAGTGCCACTGGGTAGGTTACGACCCACAGGAACCCTATATAAGGTTTCCAAGGAGCAGTTGGTGAGCTTGAGCCGCTGACCTTGCAGTTCACATTAACGTCATAGTCCAAGGTATTCACCCACAGCACCACACCAGGACTCTATGTATTCCTGGGCAAATGCTACCCTTTTAATATTGAATCCTTAATTCTTCTAAGGAGTGTGTACCACCCTGCTGTTATTGCTCACCCTATAGGCCTACTGTTTGCCTGAAAGTTAAGTCACAGAGGTGAGCTCAGTTTCAGGCCTGAAGGTGTCTGAGGGCCATACATAGTCTTGGGGGTTCCAACAGTCTTGGTCAGACCAGTAAGCCTTGTCTTTTCTATGAGTTTGTGTTTTGTTCCACATTTTTCTCCCACTCTATTTAGAGTCTACTGTTGTTATCCCTTTCCAGAGTTGTCACCAGCAGTAGCTGCTGGGGTACACGTGGACTATTAGTCCTTTCGGCTAATTGTTTCCTTGAATCTTTGATTTTCTTCGCTCTTCTTTGCTCTGAACCCAGAGAGAACTACAGTTACACTTTACATGACTACTCAAAAGTTTTGAAGGCCCAAGGCACTACTCACCAGAATAGGGTGTACAACACTGTCTTTGTGGACTATGTTATATCTACTGACTTTGGTGTCCACCAAGGCTGTGGTTCTTTCTGAGCCTCAGGGCCAGCAACCCATTCTATACTTTGTAGCTATTATTTATAAACAGGAGTTCTACAATTGTTGTTTAATTTAACTAGGACTCACAATTTATTACAGAGGTATTTTATACTTCAAATATTTTGTACTATTCGAAAGTAAGTCTTCCATTCATAAAATGTTACACTATTATAAATATTCTAACTTTACATAATAGTAGTACATTTGAATAAGTGCTAGTTCACTAACCATTACCTAAAGTTATTCTAAAATACAAGTCTTCAAGATTAATTCAAGTACAATATCTAATTTAATACCTTGTAAGTCGTTAATCATCTCTGATCCATGGGATCGGTCCCTCCTTTCAGATTCTAGGGCTGACTGTAGATTGATAAATTCCTTTTCAAGTTTTAATTTGGCTGTCTCTAGCAGGCAGTATTTATCCTGTAGTTCTCTATTGTTAGATTCCAATAGTTGAATCTGTTTAGAATTTTCTGCCTGGGTTTTTCTTAACCGAGCTGCAGTATCAGATTCTGTTCTCAACAAAGCATTGATTTCATCCAGCTGTTATTCCATTAAAAATAAAACAAACAACAAGTAAAAAATACTTCAATTTATTACCACATTACAAACAATTTAAAATACACCAAAAATTTAAGCTTTATTCCTAATAATTTCTCTCTAAAATTACAAAGGCCTTTCATAACATTGCCAACTAAAACTAGCAGCAGCAAAGTATAACTAAAATTCAATAATCATTTTATGAATTGAGATCAACCTACTTGTCTCTGGAGCTGATTCACTTTCTCAGTGGATATCTGAGAGTTTTGATTTCTCTTTTTCAAATCTTCAAGTTGATCTTTTAAGCTGTTGACTATGAAAAAAAAAGCATTTCATTGGCAAGGTCCAACAAACCCACATATATACAGTTAATCTTTTTTCTGGAAAAGCATTTAATATTATACACCACAAACCATCATTTTCCAGATTTCGTTTCTTCTCTGCTTCATAGTCAGCTTTCCGCTGATATTCGGCATTTTTGTGCTGAAGAAGGGCCTTTTCTCTTTCTAACTGTCTTACTGATGATTCCACATTTTTCCTTAAAGAAACCTAAAATAATACTTAAGGTTATGATCAAAAGGAAGTACTTATAAAAATAAAATAATAAACATTTGAGTTATTTCAAACATGCAAAAGACCTTAAAAAAAAAAAAGTAAAACTATATTATTGCTACAATAATTTTCTCCATGTTTTTAAAATCAAATAACATACTACTCAAATAATCAAGACCATAATCTTTTGTTACCTAATTAAAGTAAAATTTCCTATAATTTTCCATCATCACTGAACAATCATTATTTAATACTAATTAAAGGTATAAAATTTTCTGAACAGCATTTAAAAAAAAAAAAAAAGGATGACTCTGTTTTTAAACATTATGAGAAAGACAATAAACATCTATATATAGTTTTTTAACTTGTGTTTATAAAAACATAATAGAATGAAGAGTCCTATAACATGATTAGCTCACAATTTTAGTGCTGTTCACCACTGCTACAAGATGGATTTTACTGTCTATCAAGATATGCGTTACCAGGGACTAACAAAACCCTATAGGTAAATAAGACATCAACAAATTGTATCAAGAAAATTGTTCATGAAAGTGTAGGGAAGTATGACGCAGCTTTACCTCTTCTTCTAGCTCCTTTGTTATTTTCTCTAGGCGAGTATTAGCAGATCTAAAGAATTTCACAAAAGAAACAGTAAACAAAAGAATATTCCTAATTAATAAAACTATAAATTCTTGTATAATGGTATGATTACTTTGTAGTGTTTTTTTTTGTTACCACACTTAAATTTATAAAAATTTTAAATACATTATCTTTAAAACATACTGGCAGACAACATTTTTTTAAAGACAAAGTTAAGAAGGGCTGGGAAGGAGGGTGGAATGGAACCAGGAACCAGAGGGAGGAAGTGGGATAACTGTTGTTGCATGGAGGGGATTGTAGTCACTGAGATGAATACAAAGTGTAGGATTTCTTGAAAGTAAAACTGATATTTTTGTTATTGTTGTTAAGTGCTATCGAGTTGGTTCACCCCATAGTGATCCTGTATAGGGTTTCCAAGGAGCAGCTGGTGAGCTTGAACCGCCAACCTTGTGTTTCAAACAGACTTTGCAGTCCTGCATATTAACCCGCAGTGCCACACCGGAACTCAAAAATTGATGATCTTTATAATCTTCACTTAATTCACAATAAAAACTTAAAAAAGAAAGTTACATAAAGAAAACTTACTTGCACTTCTGCTCTAGTTCCTCTTTAGCCTGTATCTCGTTGCTAAGGTGTTCTTCTAATGTGTACAGTTTTTTCTGAATCTGTCCAAAAACAGTAAACTGTAATTATAAACTTTGACTATTGAAAGAGAAACTTAAAATAATAAGCTTCTTTTTAACTTTTCATAATTTTCCTCTACAATGACTCACACGTTGATTTTTTTTTTTTCTCTACAATCATTTTCCTTTTTTGTTGTTATTAAGTGCTGTAGAGTCAGTTCTGACTCAGAGTGAGGCTGTATAGGGTTTCTGAGTAACGGCTGGTGGGCCTGAACCACCAACCTTAACAATTCAAACTGATGTTTTGGTCCAGTGTTAATCCTACAGCGCCAAGCCAGAGTTCCATTTATCGATATAGAGGCAAGAAAATAACACTCAATTTCTTATTTCGTTCCTATCACATCACAGCTCAAGGAAGCTTCAAAAAGTTTGTTGAAAAATAGAAATAAAGGTAACTTAATTGTCCCTTGATCATTTAAAAACACCATCAAATGTATGAATACCCTTATTTTTGTATGACAATCAGCTTCAAATTCTTTATAAATAAAGGTTACAGATTCTAGTATCTTTAACTGCTCTGGTAGATATGAAAATATGGTCGCTATTTGGGCTTATAGTATAAAAATTAAAAAGTCAACATATTAAAGCAAATATTTGGAATATTTGACTAAGCATACTCAAAATTATTTTACTCTTCTTAAAAATAAGAATCTAAGGCTGCTAACATCAACATTAGCAGTTGGAACAAAAAAGATGGAAGATTGGGTGGACATGTAGTAAAGGAGCTCCGCCAGCAACAACACAAAATACCCGACCCAAGCAGGCTCAGAGGCTGGTACCAGAACTCTGAACCATGTGGTTCATATGATAAAGGAATATTTCGAAGATTGGAAGGCACATAGCTGGGGGAATTTGTGGCAGAAACAAGAAATCTATTGCTTTCCAGTCCGGAAAGCTCGGCTGCTCCTGGAACCGCCATCTTGGGTGAGACCATGTGGGGGAAGGAGCAGAGCGGCCACAGACGACTGGCAGAACCGCTGACATAAAGGCAAGGACATCCTTTTTTTTTGTATCTGTTCATTGGTCCCTTGCTATCTGCGCACCTCCATTCTGGTGACTATAGAGGTGCCTGAGCTAGTGGGTACCCCAGCCCCACCCTCAGAGGGTTCTACTATGCATGCGCACAGATCTCCTCGAAATTTAAAAAGAAAGTTTCCAATTAAAAGCAAATGGCCACAGCCGGCCCTAATTGTTTACAACTAGAAAAAAGGCCTAAATGGGGATTGTGGAGCGGGACAAGCAGACAAAAGAGGAAATAGGCCGAAAACTAAATCCTAAGTTAAATCAAAACGACCAACAGTGGTATCTTGAAGCTTCTCAGGAAGAAGAGTGAAAAGGGAAGCCCATTTCCT